AATATCAAAGTAAATGCACACTAATAGGATGAATGTGTTTGTTGAGTTTTACATAAATAATTAAATCTTTGCTGAATATTCAATGCTGCCAGACAGAACATGTTTAGTATTTTTCAGAATTGGTCAGTGTTTTGATCTTTTGATCAACAGTGCCTAGAACACTGCTTCCCATGCATGCACAGTACAAGTTGGAAGAAGTATGTTTAGGCCATCTCAAAATTATTGGAAGTTTAATCCTAATCCCAAACCCAAATTCATTAAGCAAGTAACTCAAATGACAGCTTTTAAAATCAAACATTCTAAAATAACATAATCCGAAGTTAACACTAACTTGATTGATACATGCTGAAGAATGCTGGTAGGAAGGAAAGTCTTAAGTCTTTGTCCTCTGTAATTAAACCATTTAGTAAAAGCTGGAGACTGCAGTAAGAACACCGCAGTGTATAATAGTCGTCTGCAGTCTGTGTGGCTGCAGTGAAGTAACACATTTAGTGTGGGGAAGCACCACCAGAAACACCTTGGGTTTATTGTTTACCTTGGGTTTATTGTTTTTGTGTGGGTCCAGAAACCTCTTAACTACTGTTGCTTTTTTTCTTTCTTTTTTTGGTGACCTCCACATTTAATTACAGCCCACCCCCCACTACCCCCCCATGGATCATAACTTAAACAGTTTGAGAAACTGTGGCCAGGTGGTTTCCTGTCTTAGCTAGGGCCACTGGTGTGCTCCACTGCATCCAGCCAGAGTTAGTAGTTCTTACCAAGTTAGCAGTGCTCTTTAAAGGGTGTTGTAGAGAGTTTTGTGAGCGGTCCTTGTAGCTGGGGTCTAAGAGATAGTAAAATTCCCATAGGAAAGCATAATTAGTGTCTAGTACAATTCTAGCAATTCAATTTTTTTTAATTGAAGCCTTTTCTTTGGAGGTTTATTTTCACCATTTGAGAAAAATCAGTGTCACCAACATGTGCCAACATAATGTTTGTCTTAAGACGTCTGGATATGGAACTGTCATGTTTATGAGGTTACATAGAATACAAGCATCTTAGCTTCTTTACAAAAGAATTGGGTTCCAGAGTTTAACCCATGTTAAAAACATATTCTGCTGAGCTACTTTCTGGCCCTTAGCTTCTTTATTTACACTTTCTGATTCGTAGATTAAAATGTAGATTTTACTATGTCTTCCTCCTTTATCTAAAGTTAGGACACAGTTGTGTTTCTTAAAATGTATAGATTACATTTTAATTTTAAGCTATCGAAGGAGGTTCCATAGATTGTTACAGAAATGGGACTTTGGTCTGAGAGAATACTTTTTAATACATGCCTACTAGTCTGTCTAGAGCTTTTGCAAGTGTAGATAGACTGTTTTAAACAATTATGGCTCCTACTTTGCTTTTATATACATTGTTGCATTTTATTACTCAGGTAGTCTGTACTGTGGGCAGGACAGATATTGTGCCCATTTCATAAATGGGACCATTGAGAGAGTTAAAGAGATCATTTATGTTGCTAGAATTTCAATCGGAACATAGTTTTATTTAGATCATGTCAGTATTTGCCTGTGTCTATCACATATCCATAATCCAAAGACATATAACGTAGCAATACATTTATATATCTCTGCTGTTATTACTTTCTTGTAAGAAACTTCTAAATTATATTGAAGATCCTTATGATCCAAGGAATAAAGTCCCAGATATCAAAAGACTGTTTTTAAGAAAACTGTTATTTTTGTATTCAAAGAAACTTATAATTAGCCGGGTGGTGGTGGTGCACGCCTTTAATCCCAGCACTCGGGAGGCAGAGGCAGGCAGAGGACCGATAGCCTCCAAAACAATACAGAGAAACCCTGTCTCGTAAAACCAAAAAAAAAAAAAAAAAAAAGAAACATATACTGTCAGGCCCCAAACAGCTTAAGTTTAACAAAGAATGACCCTTAATATTGACACTGTGGCAAAATAAATCCAGATATTTAAATTATGCATTGGCACAAATTTATACTAATTGTGGAATATAAATATGGTTAAATTCATTCCAAGACAGTTCCACAGAATAAAAATCATATAGTCAGTCTGTAAACACTTGCTTGGTATGTTTCCATCCTAGTTACTTTTTTACTGCTGTGACAAAGCACCATGGCCAAGGCAGCTTACAAAAGAAAGCATTTAATTGGGGGCTTGCTTACAGTTTGAGACGGTGAGTTCATGCCCATCATGGTATGCAGGCAGGTAGACAGAACACTCAAGTAATAGCTGGGAACTTACATGTTTAGACAACAACCACAAAGCAGGTGGGGTGTATGTGTTGGGTGGGGGGTGGGGACAGGTTGTGGAAAGAACAAGAGAACACTAAGTGGAAACCTCATGGCCCATCCCCAGTGACACACCTCCTCCAACAAGATCATAAGTCCTGGTCCTTACCAAACAGTTCTACCAGCTGGGGAACAAGTATGTAAACATAAGAGTCTGTCAGGTCTTTCTTATTCAAACCTCCACAGTCAAGAACTGCAAGGTGTTGGGGATTTCTAAGGTGAGATTTTGGCTTGTTTCTTGACCTTCTAAATTTGTGTTGTTATTTTTTTTTTTGAACTCTTAGGACTGAGAGACATATCCAGCGAAATTACTGTAATTTTATTTGTACAGTATAATAAAGGCGTGCCTTAAATTTGAGGGAGGAGAATCAAGTAACATAATAAGAAACAAACATTAGGGAAGTAATTCTCTGGAATTGAGAAGCAAGGTGACAATATAGTAGGGGGAAACTCGGGAGCAATTACAATATTTAAGCTGTAATTTGGAAGGAAGCCTAGGGCTTAAACATTGAGTGGTTAAAATAGGGGTGAATGTTTCAGGACAAAGAAATAGCTATGAATTAAGCTTGTGAAACACAAAATTGCACTTGTTGGCCAGTATGTGGGACTTGTCTTAGGAATGGGTATATAACATTGAGGATGACTAACTAGTTCAGTCTCAGTTCACAGGTGTCTCAGTCAGTGTTCTATTGTTGTGAAGAGACACCATGACTATGGCAGCTCTTATAAAGGAAACATTTAATAGGGGCTGGCTTATAGTTCAAAGGGTTAGTCCATTATCATCATGGTGGGTGCATGGGGGCATTCAAAGAGCTGGAGCAGTAGCTGAGAGCTCAATCCCGTTCTGCAAGTAGAAAGAAACTCTACATATGGTGTGGGCTTTGGAAACCTCAATGCCTACGCCCCAGTGACACACTTCTTCCATCAAGGTCCTCCTAATCCACTCCCTGGTGATGAAGCATTCAAATATTTGAGCCTATGGAGGGCATATTTATCAAGACACAACAGGTGCTTGTAATACAGGAATTAAACTAACAGTGAGAGATACCAAGTCAGATGGAGGGTTTCCCCCTCCTGCAGTCTGAAGATTGACTCTTGGGTCTTGAGCATGCCGAGCAGGCACTTATTACTCAGATATATCCTAGCCTTAATAAAGAGGGGTGCGTGTGTGTGCTTGCACGTGTGTGCATGTGCATACAGCTCAGGTAGATAGCTCTTCCTGAATTGTTCAGTCTGGCATTGAACTTATGATCTTCCTGTCTCCGTCTCCCGTGTAGCTGGGATTATAGATGTTCACTACTTTGCCTAGCCAAGATTTATGCTTACCGTTTTGTTTTCCTTTTCTTTTTTGACCATACAGTGAATTATTTTTTCACCTTTCCTTTTCCCTATGAATAAATTGTCACTGCTTAAAAGTAAGACTTTGTACACTGGTACATGGCCGTTTTTCATTTTTTAAGTTCACAATCTAGTAGCAAATGCTACTTCTGGAAGAGAATCATAGCTTTCTAAGTTAGATGGGGTTAGCTGTCCTTTTACCTAACCTTCTGTTATATGCCTTTGGAGTGTGAGTGGTTACCTCTGTCATTGCCCTTTTATATTTTCTATAGTATGTTTTATTGGGAGAAAATGCAAACAAATGTATAATGTGTTTAGGATAATATACTTTAAAAACAAATGTCTTTGGGTTCAGACAGTAAGTACTTAATACTGAATACTGAGTACTGTATGCAGCATACTTCATATTGCTTTTTCTCCTTTGAGTTCTCCTTTTACTTCCAGATTCAGAGTTTACCTAATTTTAAGTTTAATTGGAGTCCTACTCAGATCTCTGATTGCATCCACCCATGTGCAAATGCTCTTTATCTGGAAAGTGTCTCTTCAGTGACTATTTATTAGCTGGGTATAATCTCAGCACATGGGAGGCTGCTGTAGGGGTGTTGCTGTGGGTGGCAGGCCAGCCTGGGTTACAGAGAAAGATCTTGTTTCAAAACCAAACCTTCCTCCATCTTTTTATTTGTATTTATGCATATGAATAAGTGATGACTATTGACATGAAAATTTTCTGCTTTATGTGGAAATATAATACATTGAGAGAGACATTTAAGAAATAACTCCGGAGGGGTTCTCAACTTGTGGATGACGACCCCCTTTGGGTTGAATGACCCTTTCATGGGAGTCATGTATCAGACATCCTGCATATCAGATGTTTACATTACAATTCATAACAGTAGCATATAAAATAGCAACAAAATAATTTTACCATTGGGGGTCACCACAGCATGAGGAACTGTATTAAAGGATCGCAGCATTAGGAAGGTTAAGAACCATTGCTCTAGAGGAAGTAAATGTTAAATACCAATGATTAACCTGAATTTCAAGATGGCTCAAAATTGCAGCAGTGGCATAGAAAATAGAAAGGGTACAGAAATAACTAAAGAAAGATTTGGGGGTAATGTTATGTTTGGTAAGACTTGATTTAGTGTGCCTTTGCATTAATGAGAAGGGCTGATTTTTTAAAAAATTTTGGAATACCAAAAGAAGCTACATTTTATAGTTAAACTGTTTCGAACTTTAAACATTTTTAAAACTATGAACTCTGAGTTCTTTGACTTAAGTGGAACAGTTTTTCTTTCCCCAGTAGTTGCATCTACCTTGTGAAATGCATTGTCCTCTCTATTTCTCTCCCTCTCTCAGATTACCCTGCTCACCAGATGTCTGGCAGCTCTTCTTGCAGCATTGGCCATTGGTTTTCACTGCCTTCACAAGATCAGAATTACTCCAGAAACTGGAGAGTTTGATTTAAAAGAACAAACTTGAACAAATGGACAATATGTCTATAACAAATACACCGACAAGCAATGATGCCTGTCTGAGCATTGTACATAGTTTGATGTGTCATAGACAAGGCGGAGAAAGTGAAACGTTTGCAAAAAGAGCAATTGAAAGTTTGGTAAAGAAGCTGAAAGAGAAAAAAGATGAATTGGATTCTTTAATAACAGCTATAACTACAAATGGAGCTCATCCTAGCAAATGTGTCACCATACAGAGAACACTGGACGGACGACTTCAGGTTAGTCTTAGAGTTTGGTGTGTCTTCTGTGGTAGAAGAGTAGTAGATATTTTTAAATTTCCCTGTAAGTTACTGCCAATTTAATGTGAGTTCCATCTCTTTATATATTTATTTCATATATTTAATGATTTCTTTTTATTACTTACATATGTATCTGTACATGTGTATGTACAGATACGGACAGAGGCCAGAAGAGCGTTTTCAGATGCTAGGATCCTGCTCTGCTCCTCATAATTGAGCATCAGGTATTGCTAATGCTGGGCCATCTGTCAAGCTCCATAGCTCTGCCTCTTCATACTGTGCATCTGTTGCCAGTGTGTGTGATGAGAGTATGTGGAAGAATACTCCAAAGGTGTGTCGTAGGATTTTGTTTTGTTTTTTATGTTCTTATTCAAAAACAGTTCAATAAAGAAAATTTGAAAAATGAATGAGAAGCCCTATATCTTGAGAACTACCTGTAGCACTGTGGCATTCATCACTTAGGTCACACTCCCCGTATCTGCCAACCTTTTTTGGTATTGTAAATGCCCAAACTGATACGTTGGACTCCTGTAATTTCGGTATGTTGTATTTCCCATTGGTATGAAACATTCACTGGTCATATTTTTTTCACGTAAAGCAATATCATTTATGTGAAGAAGTGTAGAAATATGATGTTAGGTTTTTAGAAGTTTGTCTCTAGATTTTAGGCATAGTTTATAATAAATTCATACTTTTTGCATTTTAAAAACCTGAGTGCAGGCCTTGAAATTGAACTCTGGTTCAAATTCTTGCTCTGGTGTGTGATCCTGACTAGGTTATTGGCCTAACTGGAACTCAGCTTCCAACTCAGCTTCCTGAATGCTGAGATTATAGGTATGTACTCCTTTGCTCCAGTTAGTTTGAGCTTTGGATTTCTCATCTATGAAAGGATAGTTATAATCTGACATTGGTAGTGGAGGTGGGTGGAGAGTGAGACTCTCAAACCAGTTTTTCCTACTGTATGCTCGACGTATCTCTGGTGACCTTAAAAGGCATGAAGGTCTCTCTTATCTTGGTAAATAAATAAGCACGTCTGCAGGTAATGCACCTGAGCATCCTCCACTTTAGTTCAGTTCTGACCCGGTCTGCTCAGAGATGCCAATCATAATCATCTGGTTGTTTTACCTGTGCTTTCTGTCGCCTATAAAGGGTTCCCACAGTCCCATCCATGGTGCACTTAATTTACTCAACCATCTTCCGTAACTGAGGAAACCTTGTTTGCCATTATGAAGGGTATTGCAAAGGCCACAGATTGAAAGCTGCATGGGCAAGGTAAACCTCCATGCCCTCTCCAGGTAGACCAACTTCAAGAGACCTCCACATGCTCAGTCACCCCAAAGTTCCCAAGCCCTGTTCTTTGTTGGTTTTTTCCAATCCAGATTTCATTACCTAGATATAATTTTAAGTCACTGCTTGTGATCACTCTACATATTGGCCCTTTTTCCTTCAACAGAGGTTCCAGCTTCATCATTCTGTCTTAGTCTTTCCTGTGATCAGCCCTATCCTGATGATACTTGGGAGCTGTAGCCTTCAATCAGCTCATAATCTCAGAAAAAAAGACACCATTTTTAGAGCTAAGATTTCAGTTGTGTGAAAGGAAATATGAGCCAAACCATGTGTATGTTTTGCAGTATCACAGATTCTGACTTTGTGGAACTTGAAGTTTAAATGAGAACCTAGATTAAGTCTTTTGTGTAATGTCTAATACAAAACTGATACTTAATCAATGATTGTTTCTTTTCCCAGGTGGCTGGTCGGAAAGGCTTTCCTCATGTCATCTATGCCCGTCTATGGAGGTGGCCTGATCTACACAAGAATGAACTAAAACATGTTAAATATTGTCAGTATGCATTTGACTTAAAATGTGATAGTGTCTGTGTGAATCCATATCACTATGAACGAGTTGTTTCACCTGGAATTGGTAAGTTGACTGTCATTGTAGCTGTATAAAGGGAAAAGATCCTAGTAATATTTTAACTTTTCTAATTTAAGCTTGTATTTGAAAATTACTCAAGACTTCAAATAAAGTTAAAGAATCAGAATTAAAATTTTATTTTAGACAAGGTCTCATGTCCCAGGCTGGCCAAGAGCTGGCTATGTAACCAAGGACGAATCTTGACCCTACTACTTTAGCCTCTTGAGCAGTGGATTAGAGATATACACTACCATGGTTTGCTCAAGATTCAGATAATTTAAATGAAATGTAAATACTTAAATATGAACAAATTTGAGAGCAAATTTGTGCTTTTTGACTTTTAGAACTGAATATATAAAATTGATACTTTGCCTACTTCGTACATTGTTGTTGAAAATAAGGTGGGAAGTATTATAAATTTAGAAAATATATATAGCTAGGATTTACCCTACTTTTAAATTGAAATGGCTCATGAAGTTTTGCAGTTTCTGGCTTAAATTAATGTTCTAAATGTTATAGAAAATATGTTCATGATAATGATTTATGTTTCATTTTCTTTTCCTTAAAAAAAGATCTCTCAGGATTGACACTGCAGAGTAATGGTAAGTAGCTGGTTTCTTGTAACTTTTCCTATTTCCTTTTATCATGTCTTGCTTATTTTTTGTTCTCAAACAAGTGCTTTATATAGGAGCTAGGAACACTAACAAGAAAATAATTGCTACTTTGAACATGTGAATTAACATTTAAAATTGGGCTTATTTAGTTTATTTGTTTTATGCATTTGAGTGTTTTGCCTGCATGCATTTCTGTCCCCCATGTGTATGTCTGGTGCCTGTGGAAGCCAGAAGGGACATCAAATCCCCTGAAAGTAGAGTTACAGATAGCTGTGAGCTACTCTTCTGTGGGTGCTGGGAATTGAGTCTGGGTCATCTAAGAGAGCAGCAAGTGCTCTTAATTGCTGAACCATGTCTAGAGCTCCCTAATAATAGATTTAAATTGGTCTGGGCTCTCTGTGTTTGAAATGCTACTCATGAGCTAAAATTCTTTTAAGTGTGATAGATGAATACACAAGGACACAAGTCTAATTAATGTTCAGTTTTAACAGGGTTTTTGTTTGTTCATTCTTTTGGGACAGGGTTTCTCTGTGTAATCCTGGCTGTCTCAGAACTCACTCTGTAGATCAGGCTTTCCTCAAACTCACAGAGATCCGTCTGCCTTTGCCTCTTGAGTGCTGGGATTAAAGACCTGCACCACCACCACCACCCATTAACAGGTTTTTAATTGACAAAGAAAACAACTCTTTGTAAGAAAATCAGCTGGTGTAAATGGGTATCAGTAACTATAGTGTGTGATAATTTGGAATCATGTGTATCTTACCTTACAAAAATATCTATTTCTGTTTTCTTCATTTCACCCTGATTTACTTTCATGAATGATAATATTGATGCTTTAAAATTATGCATATCAATATTTTAAAAAGTATTCCGTGAAACAAAAGGCTAAAATGTTTTGAGGTGTGAAAATCCACTTGGTTTTTAATTTTGGGTTTTTGGTAAATAGGAAAATGAAATTCTTTAAATCTCTAGCTCTGATAACTTAGACCCTATTAACAAACTAAAATCAGAATAAAACCATTTGTGGAGATGTTCTGATACAGAGCCACCATCATCTTAAAACAGAGAGCTCTTCTGCAGGTAGGTAGTAGTAGTATGATGTTTCATTCTTTAGGATCTTAGAGGTGGGTTGGAGATACCACATAATTTTAAAATTTTGGAAAAGGCGGTTTGGCTTTTGTAATGTATACTCTTCCCACCAGCTGCCTGGGTCCTGCAATTCCCAAATAACACACGAGACACTATATTAATTATAAAGCTATTGACTGTTTGCTTGGTTTCTTATCTAGCTCTGAATTATTAACCCATAACTGCTAGTCTGAATATTTCCACGTGATCTTCTCTTACTGGAGAAAGGGACCAGACCTCTTACTCCTGGTGTCCTACATCGAGAGTGACTGTGCCTCTGTTTCCCAGAATCCTTCTGGACTCTTAGTCCAACCTATCTTGTTTCCCTATTGGCCAACAGTGCTTTGTTAATCAACCAGTAGGACAGCATATACACAGAAGGACTTCCCCCATCAGGCTTTAGTTTCAACTTTACTTCCATGTGTCTGGTAATGGAAGTGTGTTGTTATTCTGGCTTACAGGTTTCTGAGAAGTGTGGTCAGTGGTAGTGGGAGCTGTGGTTGTCTGGGAACGGTAGTTTTAGGGTTGCTGAAAGCTCTGCCTCTGTCAACACAGCTCTGTCCTTCAGCTTGTCACCATTCTCCATTCATAGTTTTTGAGAACTATTACATTTACTCAGTGGAAATTAGGGTTTAGGAAACTCTAGTGATAATTTCAGAATTCCCATATGGGTGGTCATGAGGTGCTCCACAGGGATTGCATGGGTTAGTATTCTTCCTTTAGGGACACTAAGATCATAGTCAGCCTTGTGAATCCCCCTAGTGGTAGTTTTGTAGACGGTCTTGCCTGGCTTATTTTCTTGGAAAACAAATTTTTCACATTTCATTTTTGAATTGGACAAAAAAAGTAATGGTAGTCCAGGTAATGAAAAGTTGAGAACAATGAAGCACTTCCCTTTACTTGTCAGTTGGGATCTTGTGGCTGTCATTTCTAGCATAGCTCATCTCTTTCATGAAACTCTGGCCATGGTGTTCCATGTATTCATTTTACAAATATTTAGTGACATTCAGAATTCAGTCTTTTGGAGGGAAGAAAAAGCAAGAGAGTGGCATGCTCTCTATTGGGTGAGTGGCTTGCCTGTGGCAGTGACAGAATGCCCAGTGACTTTAAGCTTATTCTTTGTCACATATGGAAAATTTATTCTTTACCTCTCATACAAAACTATCTTATAACTAGACATAGTCTTTAAAATATCTAACAATTGCTGAATGTTCATTTTGTGTAAGGAACCGAGCTAAGTGATTTATGAGTAACTTAGTCACTGTTCTATTGCTTTGAGGAGAGGCCATGACCATGGCAAGTTTTATAATTAGGGTTAGCTTATAGTTTCAGTCCACTATCCTCATGATGGCGACCATGGCACCATGCAGGCATACATGGTGGCTTGGGATCCAAAAGTAGCAGGAAGAGAGAATGACACTTGACCTGGCTTGAGCTTTTGAAACCCCAGAGCCCACTCCCAGTGCAACACTTTCTCTAACAAAGCCACACTTACTCCAACAAGACCATACCTCGTAATCCCTCTCAAGTAGTGCCACTCCCTAATGACCAAGCATTCAAATGTATGAGCCTATGGGGGGGCCATTCCTATTCTGACTACCATGAGGAATATTATGTTACATTGTCCACTTAATGCTTTTCTGTGGTAGGTGAGATTATCTTTACTTCTCTAGATTAGGAGACATGAACTTAGAGATCAAGAATCATGCTCAGCTAGGAGTTAGAGTAATGTTGGTGTGCTGTGAAATATTAAACAAGAAAGTGTTATTAAAAAAAAAACTCAGGCTCCATGAAGTTAGTTGTATTTGTTTTTATCAATATATCCCATTTGTTAAAACAATATGTATAACATGGATACTTAATACATTTTTTTCAGTGAATGAATTTATTGAATATAAACCCAAAAAGAGAAATGTTTTACAATTTTGTATTTGTGATGCTATTCTTACCAACTTGTTATCAACTTGTCTATATTTATAATTAACAAAAAAACCAAGCAGCTAGACACACCTGTGAGAGACTTTTAGCTAATTGGGTCAGTTGAGGTAGGAAGAGCCACCTTAAATCCAGATCACTTGAGGTTGGAAGACTGACCAAATCTGGACCACAGATTTATAAAAACCATGGAAGAAGGAAACTTTTGCTTTGCTTGCCCTCGCTCTCACTGGCAAGTTCACTGCTTCACTGGTATTAGAGCCTATTTCTTGGGGATTCCAATCATGCATACTGAAGACCAGCTGACTCATTGAACCTCATAGATGGAGCAACCTACTGGATTCTTAGATTTTCTTTTGGAAGACAGCCATTGTTGGATTAGCTTGACCACAGCCTGTAAGCCACTCTAATAAAGCCATGTATATATTCATCCCCCCCTCCCTTATTTTCCCCCGTTATTCTGTTAGTTCTGTTCCTCTAGAGAACTCTGACTTATAACAGTTTGTGGTTCTACGGACACAATTGTAAGGATGAGTTTGTTAAATATCTGGAGCAGGCTTGGCAACTTGCTAGCATCTACAATTACTGAAGATTCTCCTGGTAGTATTGAGAATTCTCGAAGCCCATGGTTAGAAATGTTGAAAAGGCTTGCTGTATGGAATAGGGAAATTAGTGATTCTGTATATAAAACTTTTTTAAGAGCTTCTTTATTGAATCTTTGGAGATTTCACATCATGCAACCCAATTCTGTCCCCCCTTACTCCCTCTTTATCCCTGTTGCATCCCCCTACAGAAGAAAACAAAACAAAATAAGCAAGCAAACAAAAGCAAGAACAAAAGGAAATACATTAAATCAAAATAGAACAGCAACAACAACAACAACAAAACCACCTGAAACAGCAAAATCTCTGCTTCTTCTCTCTGGCCTCTCCATCACCTCTTCATCCTTCCTGATGGCATGGGAGGCTTCAGTGTGTCCCATCAGCGTAACTAGCAACTGTCCATTGCAATGAATCATTGGTCTGATTCAAGGCCTCTGGTTTTTGGTACACCATCCTCACTGGATCTGCATATAAAGCTTTTGACAATTTGTGGAATAATAAGGAAAATAATGATAATGGTTGGTTGCTTTTAGCATTTCTGCATAAATTGACAACGACAAAAAATGAGCTTATGGATAAAATTAACCAACTTCTAATACCTCAAGATACAGTGGCGAAAGAAAAGAATGAACTTAGTAGAACCAGCTCCAGATATACATAAATAGATTTATGAATTTGCCTTGGAAGATTTCCTCTCCGGCAGCCATAGAGCTCATGTTGCAGAAAAATCAAACCGAAGCCTTCTTAAGATTAGACTTGAAAGATGCAGGCGTGCAGGCATGGTAGTTCATGCTACATTTCCTTTTAACTCTCCAATTTGGTCTGTGGAGATGGATTGTTGGCTGTTGGAAACTTAACCAGATAGTGACTCTGATTGCAGCTGCTGTACCAGATATGGTGTCCTTACTTGAACAGACAAACACATCTCCTGGTACCTGATATGCAGTTATTGATCTAGCAAATGGCTTTTTCCGGGTATCTGGCTATCAGGACCATCAGAAGCAATTTGCTTTCAGTTGGCAAAGCCAGAAGTATACCTTGACAGTTTTACCTCAAGGATATATTAATGCTCCAGCCCTGTGTCAAATCTTAGTTCCAAGGATCTTGATCATCCGTTTCTTTCACAAATTATCACACTGGTCTGTTACATTGATGACATTATGGTGATTAGACCAAGTGAGCAGGACATAACTTTGGACTCGTTAGTAACACATATGCACATCAGAGAATGTGAAATAAATACAACCTTAATTTAAAGGCTTTCTACCTCAGTGAAACTTCTAGGAGTTCAGTGGTGTGGGGCATCCAGAGATATTCTTTCAA